ATGTGCACACCCCCAACCACAAAGTTGTGATGCGGGAAAAATGTTCCTGCCTGAAGCCTCCGGTAGAGGTATGAGTTCCTGGAGATGCGGGCATCATGTGCCCGCCCTGACCACTCAACACAAATGTCCGATTACTGGCCACGATGGTCGACCAGGGCCTGGTATAAAATAAAAAAGCAATAATTTACTAGTTTAAGTATTAAATGTATTAATGTATTTTAGAACGATGATTCATTGTGCTCTGCCAGGCACCCTTTCTGAGAACAGGAAGGAATAGGCTAAATGCACCATCCGTCAAGGTGCACCAGCCAAAATTTTTGCGTTTAAAGCTGAAGGAATCCTTATGGGTTTGATTTTACATTTCAAAATTTGCACTGTAAAATCAGTAAAACGGGAGGATGATTGTTTTCTTTACATTGTCATTTAATGTGCTGGTATAACAATTTACCTTGTGTCTGGATCACACAAAAAGAAATCAATCCTGTTTTTGTGTGTGAATCAAGAAAAGAATGTGTAATAAAAAATAAGGGGAAAGACCTTCACCACATCAAATGTTCTAAAAAAAGAGCCAAAAACACATATAAAGGCACCAAAAAATTGCTGTATGCCCCTATCAAAACGTGAATAAAAAGCAAATTAACAACTCTAAAAAATATGATAAGCACTTACTGATCAATTAAAACAAAACAGCTGTAACATAAAAAAATTAAACCACGCACTTATCAAATGGCAATTAATAACAGTATGGGCCGCAGGTGGGTGTCTTGCCATTTAAAAATCAGCAGTCCTGTTGCACCTTAAGCTACATCCACACTGCAGTGTTATTTCTTTTGAGTTCGCCTGTTATTTTGTAATATAATGGACTCGCTATTCTGATATCCTTGTAAACCTCATTCCGCAAGGGGTAAGGGACGTTTTGGAAGAGTGGTTTATTTTGAAATAAGTGCTCTGTAGACAGCACCAAATTTCAAAATAAGCTACTTTGAAATTAATTTGAAATAAATGATGGCGTGGGGCCATCGCCTGCCCAGGGGCAGCTCTGGCTCCATGCCAAAAAAATGGGTCTAAAACAGAAAAACCTCAAAACAAAAAACCTGCTGGGGTGTCCCAGGAAGCTGAGCACTCCAAACAATCACTGCAATACCTTGCTTACCTCCTAGAGGGACAGCAAAGGCAGGAGCAGAGCAACGGGTGTTCAGGGGCGTCCCTTTATCCACGCATCTCTGCAAAGGGCAGGCAGCAGCACCCGGAAGGAAATGCTGCCCCCATGCCCTGGCAGAAGCAGTTCCGGGTGGCTTTTCCTTTCAAAAGAGCGTCCAGCAGTCAGGACACTCTTTTTCGAAAAAGCGGATCGATTTTTCCGATCCGCGTATTGTAGTCTAGACACTCTTTTTCGAAAGAGGCTTGCAGTCTAGATGTAGCCACTGAGTATTCACTATACACAAGCAAGGGAATCCCACTCTGAATCCTTAGTGTATATATAACTTTAGACTAGTGCTATGAAATCAGTGGAGGTGCATTAGATTGTGGGCTATAACTTTTTATAAGTTCTCATTGCTTTGAATGCCTCCCACATCTACCCCTCACATTTGACTGTGTTTTCTTCTGTTTACGTTTGTTTTTCTAGTAACATTCTTGCAATCTATGTTTTAATCAGCTGCACATGGACAATGGTTGTTCTGTGTACAAATTAAGAAGTGAAAGTTGTTGCCCTTTGAGGGGACAGCAGGATGGGGCAGGAGACGTGCACAGGAATATGACATTATCTCCCTCCCACCCCTTTTCTGCATAATTTACTCATTGGCAGGAGCAAGGTCTGAGGAACCATTGCTCACAAGGACTAATATTTTGTTCCATCATTCAATTTCCTTAACAGGGAAGGATTGGTGAGAGGAAAGAAGTCTCCTAGCACACATCCCTGTCCTATGTGCATTCACAAGGGCATATTACTTCTTAACCCAATTTGGTTTACACAGGCATCCATATAGGAGTAGTTCTCGACATTCATAATTCTTGCCCCACCTTCTTAGCATCCCAAAGCTAGTTGTAGCAAAGTCTTAGTGAGTTAATAGGTTTGTTTTTATATATAATAATTTATAACTTTATTGTGAATGTTCCTGCAAGGTAATTTTCTTCTGTATAAAATCTCCTGGAAAATGAATGCATAATATTCAGTAAAATACTTGAAAACCCATAATCTCAGGTTCAATCTTGGTAACCTAAAAATGTGTGTAGAATTTGTTCAATAAATTTGGAGTATCATACTAAAAGTTAAAAACACCCTATAAAATGTAGGCGGGTCGCCTTATTCCTTCACTGAGTTATGATATATGATGTAATATATTGCAATAAAAATATAGTAAATTACATTGCAACTCCAGTGGAAATAATGGAAGGTATGCCGTGACTCAAGATATTTTATAGTAATATAGTGTTGTAAATGCTTCATGTGTCTAGTTAATATATCACATATTAATATAGTTATACAAACTCATTACTAGACATAGGGTTTCATCAGGCTTTGGCACTATGAAGTAACAGTGTTCACTATTTAAATATCGTTGTAAATATATTTTATTTTAAGCCTTATTTTTACCCTTCTGATACCCAGGAATATTGGTTTGCCTTGAACGTTACCATATCTCCCTGAAAGCAAAAGTTTTCTGATATAAAATGGTGATGAGTTTCTACTATCTGTTTCAGTTCTTCTAGATCAGAAACATCTGGATGCTCCCTTTTCAGAGCTTGATAGGAAAACTATCAGTTGGACTAAATTTGAATAGTTACGATATGCTGATTTATGCCATCTGAGAATTTGGCCCTCCATATAGTTTACTGTTCTTCAAAACTTCGACTTATTTAGAGTTAATTGGGGTTGGTTCCTCTTGGAGAAGGGGTTGGAGTAGATGACATCCTGAGATCTCTTCCAACCCTAATCTTCTATGATTCACTGAAAACTAAACTTCATGAGGCATCTGATGACCGGTAGTGGGGCAGGGGACATGATACATGCACTCCAGGTAGCACTGAGGTCTGGCTGTCTCCAATCCCACCCATTCCATGAGCACAGAACTGCTCCTCCCATCTTGCCCAGGGAACTGGCAATTCTGCCCCTTCTCCCCCCGCCCCGAACCACATCATTTAATAGTTTGCCTGTGATAGGATTGATCTCTTATAAAAACAATTATTAATCCTAATCATGTCCTCATTACGTGTCTTTGCTCTAAACGTTTCCTCTCTTTTCAGTTAATCTTTCCCAATTTAAGAGCTTTTTTTCATTTTGCTTTTGTCACCCAGCTGTGGATTCTTTCTATTTCTATTGTCTTTTCTGAGACACAATGACCAGAACATTTCAGCATTGTAGGTGATGGTAAAACATCGATTTATAAAATGGTCTAACAACTATTTAGTACTGTAAGATTTACCCAGTGTTGCTTGGTTCCTTAACTCAATTCATTTTTGTTTTTCTTCACGTAAATCATTGTTCTGGGTGGGACTGAGGATGAGGGGTTCAATATGCAGGCTGGCTCAGGGAGAGAACACTGCCCAAGCCCTCTCACACCTCAACAGCTTGGGGCCAGTTGAGAAGCATCTTTCCATGGCTGATGGGGAAGGGGTGCCTGTCCCCCAGGTGGGGCAACTCCTGAGTGCCCCAGCCAGAGTGAGGATTGCATCAAACTATGCACTTTCCCCTCACTCCCTGACAAAACAATGTCCCCGTATGAATCAGGAGGGGAGCTTCAGCCCTCTTCACCCTCCCTAAAGAGTGCTGGGGAAGTAAGAGGCTAGGACAGTCATGGGGGGCGGGGGTCACATGCCCACCCAGCCCCTTCCACCTACCTGGTGATTTTGGCTCTTCTCTGTATTTTTTTTATTTTTATGAGAAAAAATCCCATTCCAGGCACATCCCATTTTCCTATCACAACCAACCTTTACCTTGCTTTATGTTACAATAAGAGGAAGCTGCATACCAAATTTTATGGTCCTAACTCTTAATGTTTAGCAGGAGTTCTTGAACATTCACGTTCCCAGACACATAAACTGTCTCAAATATTTAGTAAGATTATTTACTACCATTTTCTTTACCCAACCTAATATTTTGTTTGTTAATTTTTGCTGCCTGTTCACATAGCTTTGCTAGGTCTTTCTGAAATGTCTCAAGGTTTTCCCAAGGCATGACTAACCTGAACAATTATATGTCACTGTTCTCTTCCTTTCAACCTCATGAATAAATGTACTGGATGTCAATCCTAATAGGCAACCTGCTGTTACATTTTTGACATTTTGAAAACTGAGTGAATGTTTCTACTCTGTTTTCTGTCTATGAGAGAGTCCCTGATCTACAACAGAACTTTACCTTTCAGCCTTTGACTAAGTTGCTTCCTTTTAATAAGAAAGTCTTTATGAATTTTAAATAAATGGTGTCAGCCAATGCTGTTTTATTCACTATTCTATTGATGAACTCTAAGGATTTCAATGGGCAACAAAGGTGCAGCGTTCCTATCCAGAAACTGTGCCGATTTGGTCCTCTCACTTTGTGTTCATCTAAAGAGCTGGATGTAATGCACTTTCTGCACTTAGAGACTGGATACCCTCCTAATCAATGGATTAAATTGCTCACGGAAGACATGGGGATGACCTAAAGGGTTAGGTAAAGGAATGGAACATGAAGTCCTCCTGAATCTTAATCAGTTTTTACTCCAATTCCTCCTGTGGCATGGGCCAGCCTACTTAAATTCTCGACCACAATTTCCTCATCTGTAATATGAAAATTGTAATTACTTACTTGCCTGCTTATGGGGTTCTTGTGAGGTTAAACTGGGTAATGTTAGTAAAGAGCTTTGAACATGAAAGCTGCTGTGTAAGTGTCAATCCCATCTATTATAGGAAAGAAGAAAATCACTGATTTTTTCCCCCCTCAAACCGTTTGTAACAGTGATGTGGTTTCAATGGTTGTATTCACAGGTTGGCAAGACTTGTTTGGGGAACCGCAGTAATTCAACATCTCTTCATCTCAAAGTGGCAGACACAAATCCTAGCTTTCAGGTACTTCTGTCTCTAAGTAATTGAGACCATTTATAAGTGTCTCTTTATCAAATGTAAATTCCATGAACTGTATCTGATCATTCTAAGGCAGTGATTTCTAGGTAGTCCCTCATTAATCGCAATGGAGACTTCTGCTCCACTTGACTGAAATTGGAGGTATAAGGTGGCCTTCTATTAGGGAAGTATTTCAGTTCTTAAAGAACTTGACTGTCCTAATCAGTGAGGCCATTCTTATACATTCAGGGGCAGGAGAGGGAGGACAACAATGTCCAAATCCTGGCTATAACTGTGATGTGGTGAAAGTGTGCTTAATTAAGTGTGTTACACAAAGAAAAAGCTTCAGCAGATTGTATGGGATGTAGGAAACCTTTATCTTCTAGTCCAATACAAATACAGTTACATATTCTATGGCAAAGATGGGTACTGCTGTACCTCTGGGTAGCTCAGCTGTTTTGCTCCACTCTAATTCTCTAACTACTGATTGACCAGCTGCTTTTATTTTTCCCACTCTGCCACTCAGGAGCAGAGTGGGAAAATATTTTTCACTCTAGTCAGCAGAATGGATAGGACCTCTTCTGGCAGGGACCAGACTTCTGAACAACACAATTGGAAAACAGTAGAATAATACTGTATTGTTTGAAATCTTCCTAGCAGTATACTCCAATAATATACAGTAAAACCTGTGTTATTGGGAATGCTCGGGGATTAGGGCATTCCGGTTATCTAAAAATTCCAGTTATCTGAGGGTCCCATCAACCTAGGAAAAACCAATGGACAATAATAGTAAAACTCAAGTTTTTAATAGTTAGTTTTGTAGTGTGAGGTAGTTGGTCTCACATTTTTATTTTGAGTTAAAGATGATGAGTACTTCTTAATTAAAAATTATTAAGCCAATCATGGTAAACCAAGCCAGGCCTGTGCGCCTAAAGATGTGACAGTATTGTGGCTGGTGGCAATATGGTTAACAAAGTATTCTGGTTAACAGAGTGTCGGATAACAATGGCAATGTGGTTAACAAAGTTTTCTGGTTAACAGAGTGCCGGATAACAAAGGTTTCACTGTATCTATAAAAGGGGCACAATTGATTTTACTGAATTTTTGCTTTGATGAAGATGTTGGTATTCTGAGAAAATCTACAGCTTTCATGGAAGGCAGATTATTTCTATATAGAGAGACATGCAGTTATGTACTTTATCACACATGAATATGGATTCTCAACAGACACACTATAGTTATAAAAGCAGTACAAAGACTAACACAAATAAATACAGCTGTGTGTATATAATGCCTCAGGCACTTTAAGCATTCGGTGTCGATTCCTTGTATTCCAGTGCAATGTGATGACCACAGATTGTTGGCCTGATTCTCCTCTCACTTATACAAGTATAAATTCACTGACTTCCATTCAGTAACTCTTGATTTACATCAAGATTGATTTAAAATGGGATCAAAATCAGAGCCTGTGTTTCTTTATTATCTTTTTTGTAGCATCCCACTATAGTTCAGCATAAAATTCCATACTATTATAATACTTACATTGATTCCATTTTTCTTATTGTGTTGGTTAACAGAAGTTTCACAACCCTCCATGGATTAAACCTGAAGTTAAAAAACCAGCAGAGACAAATGAGAAGAAGCATGAAGATTTAGATAAAATAGAAGAAAAAGCACTGTAAACATTACTAAGCTATGTTAACAACGGTCTTCATTTGCTATTGTCTTCATATTATTTTTAGTCCAGAAGCATGATAATGTATCTAGTTTCTAAAGCATGCAACTTTTTCACTATTTTATCAATGTTTGTAAATTAGTCTAGTTTCTGAAATAGACCAATTAGTATCTCTCAGCAATAATCCAGCAGAAATGGATGTTTGAAGATATGCTTTGTAATACAGTCCAGTTTTTTGAAATATTATTCTGCTCTGATCAGTAACTTGCTTATTATAAATCAGTCTGTTTTGTAAAGAACTGCCATTTTGAAGTTTTCTTTTCTTAGCTTGTTCTGTTTAATAGCTATCTTTACTGTACACTTGGGGATAAAAGCCTGCTAACATAAAATAATACTAATAATTATATAGTTAAAGTGCAATGCTACTCAGAAGAGTGACTGTGAAAATAGCACAATAGGATTCTATATTTACCAGCTGTCAATGCTGTCTATCTCAAATCTACTCAGTTAACAGGTAAAAAGTTTATTATTTCTAACTACAACCATTACAAAGTCAGCTGAATCTAGCAATTGTTGTGATTGGCTGGTTGCGGGTTTTTTGGGTGGTGTATGCATCCCCAAAATAAAAAAAATCTGTAGTTGAAACCAAGTTAACAGTTCCGTTGATAATGCACAAGCTACAGTAGACTTCCGATAATCCGGAACCTATGGGACCTAGGTGGTGCCGGATTATCAGATATGCCGGAGTATCAGGAGGTACTATGAGCTGGTTATGTATATACTGTATACAGTATATACTGTATAGAAAGTGTTCTTAACCCTTTTTATTGTACATACTGTATACAGTATACTGAAATGTTTTAGTTTTTTTAACCCTTTTTTACCCTTTTTGCTCAGTTCAGCTGCTGCCGCTGTTACCTTGTGACTCATTTTTTGCCGAAGCTCAGTCACTAGGCTCTTGCCATTTTGATGCCGGACTATCAGGAGTGCCGGACTATTGGAGTTTTACTGTAGTATGGAATCCATCTCCATCTCCCATAGCTGTGTTGGCCTAACAGGAGGGAAAAAGAATCAAAACTTATTTTGTCACAATATTGGCAATACACAGAGAAAGTGGAGTTGATGAGTACTTGCAATGGGATGTGTTACCTGAATAGTTCTTAAGAATCTCTTAGCTGTGCACTTAGCTGTGCATAGAGTGCACTTTCTGTATGAGCTCTGCAGGGTAAGGAGGTGAATCAGCAGGGAATACATGTCTGGAGAATTGATTCAGCTGAGGTTAGCTTAAGCAACTGGGCCCAGCTGCTAGATCTAAAAGAAGAAGAGAAGGTGCATCTGGGGCTGGGGAAGGGCAAATTCTCCTCTGAGAATTTATTAGAGTGGATCCCACTGTAGGCATGAATGTATCTCATGCAGAAGATTGGAATCTTTTGATTAGCAATGCCTGTTGGGCTTTGCTTGTGACATGCACATCTCATTCCCCAGCCATGGCAACAAGACAGAATTACCCTTTGTTAAAAATTAATTCCACTAATTTCTCATTGTGCGGTTTCTCTCTTTCTATTTAAATGATAAAATTCTCCTTTGTTTATTTAGTACCCTGGTCCCTTGTCCTCATGTAATGGTGAACTCACAGCCTTAGGGCTTCAAATCTTGTCCATTTTGCAGTTGCTTAACCCTGCTTACCAATGGCTATTGCTGCTGTCTATTCTGCCTCAGTGAGTTGCATACTCAGAACACATGTTCCATGTGCAATTTGTTCTCTGCGTGGGCATGAAAATCACAAGATGCCCAGCCAAGCTTCATTTTTTAGGAAAATCCATGAGAGTTATATCCCAACCAAAAGGAAAAGAGATTGAAGCTCCCAACATTTAATGGAAAAGTCTTCCTTTGCAAGGCCATGTCTTCACTAAGAGATTAATCCGAATTTACTAAGTTTGACTTCTGGGCACCCAATTTACAAATTCAAAGTTTTGTGTTCTCACTACAGAGATGAATCAAATGTAGTCCAAGGAAGGCTCTGTTAATGTGGATGCATCACCTCAGACTTAGGGTATGTCTACTCTGCATTTTTTGAGGACTAAGAGTTATTCTGAGGGAAGGGTTTTCTCTTGTAATAACCCCATTTTCTTCTCGCAATAGCGCTATTTTGCAATAACGCCAGTCCGTGATTATGCAAATGAGGCACGGGATATTCAAATCCCTGCTTCATTTGCAATTTCGGATGTCTACATTTGCATTCCTCTCTCTCGTGAAAAATGAAGTGTAGACATACCCTTAGAGTCTCAGTGAGCACTCTCGGGAGCTGCAGGAGGCCCCCCAAGTTCAAATTAGAGGCACTGGAACACCCACACTAATGCAATTTTGGACTTACAAGTTTGGGAATAGTGTTATTCCTCATGAAAAGCAGGATGACAGAGTTCAAATTCCATGATGCCCTTACTCCAAAATAATGAGTTTGGTAGTGTGGATGCATCACTTACAAATTCGACCTTGGGGAGCTAATTTTGGATTAAGGTGCTAGTGTAGATCAGGCCCACATAACCCCAGAAGTCAGCACACAACCAGGGGTACCAAAAAGAAATCAATGTAAAATGTGGGAATTTAAGTCACCCTAGTACTCACAGATGTGGTGCAAAAGATGTGTACCACCTCCTCATAGAGGTAGGGAAGTCCAGAATGCAGATAAACATGATTCCAGGCACTGCTCTGTGTCTGCCCATAAGGAGAGGAAACCACTAACCACACACTACCATAGTGGCTAAAGATCTGCATAAAAATATACAAGCCCAGCACCAACCTCAACAATGTCCAATCCAGTACCTATGTTGACACCAACAAGAGAATCATTCATGGTGCCAGCAGAAGAACTGATCTTCATGCATCTATTCTTCCTTCATTAATATCATACATCAGCAGCACCCCTGGACAAATGTATTCATTATCCCTAATAGCAGGGCATACTTACTCTCCAAGTAGGAAGGGGGGGAAGCTGTTTCATAGGCTATGAGCTGCAGACAGCTGCCTTTCCACCTTTCAGAATTTGTATCTAGAGTACTCCACAACATTTATATCCATAGCTGGGCTTTCGTTCAGTTCCATCAAGTTCATCTTATAGTAATCTCTGCATGGCTGTGTCCAGACTCAGGGGGTTTTTCGGGAAAAGTAGCCTTTTTCCGAAAAAACTTCCCCTGCGTCCAGACTCAAGCCGCGTTCTTTCGAAATTAAATCAAAAGAACGCGGCTTTTCTTTCGATGGCGGTAAACCTAATTCTACGAGGAAGAACGCCTTCTTTCGAAAGTTCCTCTTTCGAAAGAAGGCGTTCTTCAATGTAAATAGGGCTTCCTCGAAAGAGAGCATCCAGATTCGCTGGGTGCTTTCTTTCGAAAAAGCAAGCCGCTTTTTCGAAAGTTCCGCATGTAGTCTAGACGTGCTCTTTCGAAAGAGGCTCTTTCGAAAGATACTTTCGAAAGATACTTTCGAAAGAGCCTCTTTAGAAAGAGGCTTGCAGTCTAGACATAGTCCATGTTACCTACGTGATCAGTTCTTTTTAGTCCTCATGCAGTCCCAGATATCAAGATTCTTTAAAAGGTTGTTGAATATTTACCCACCTTTCAGAGAACGCTACTTGCATGGGATTTCAATGCTGTCCTTTCAAGACATTTCATTTTGGAATGGTCCTTACACCACCTTACACTCAAGAAAGTCATCTTATTTGCCATCTCATCACCAGTAGTACTGAGTCCTAGTCTGATTTTTATCCCTAAAGCGGTGTCAGAATTTCATTTCAACCTGTCCATCTATTTATCTGTATTCTTCACTAAATCGAATGCCAGGTTGGGGGAGACACATCTCCACACATGTTGGCATTTTATTATACTATATTGATCCCAAAAAACCCTTCAGTCTGGCATTCCTCTTTTTGTGACCAGCTCTGGTGCTTTGAACATTTAAGCCCCTCCTCCCAAAGGATATATAAAAGGATCAGACAATGAATATCAATCTATCACCAGATGGGTGGGGTGCCGCTCCCTCCAAACATTAAAGCTCATGCCACTAAAGCATAAGCTACAGCTGCTGCATACTCCTGAAGCCTATCCATATTAGAAAGCTGTGAGGTTACTGTGTGGTGGGACTCCTTGGCATTCATTCAGTACTATGCTCTTCACTTAGATGCAAAGTCATATGCTAAAGTCAAGGAGGACGTGTTACAAACACTATTCAGTTATGTCAATAAAACCTGGGATGCTGCCTGCACCTACTGTGAGATTTCCAATGGAGACAGACTCAAAGATGAAATGTAGTTATTTTCCTTATAGTAATCATGGTTTTTTGAGATTTAATCTGTGTGGATCCTGTGAACTATCTTCTATCCCTGATTATCAGAATTCTCTACATCTGGGATTATGATTTAACAAGGAAACTGAGGGATAATTGCAGCTGCTCTGCACTTTATGCCTTTGGATAAAGGAGCATAAAAACATGCCTGGTATAGACATGGCTCAGTGGACATTGCTGTTGATCTCACACATTTATCCCACACATGAGACACTTACAGCATGGCTACACTGAAATTAAAAAAAAAAAAATATGGCTAGTCCATACCACCTGACTCAGGATTTGGGGCTTTAGCTAAGGAGCTGTTTAGTAATGGCATATACATACCAGCTGACTCAGGATTTGAGGCTTTAGCTAAGGAGCTGTTTAGTAATGGCATATATGGTTTGGCTCGTGGTGAGGATCCAGGCTCTATGACCTTGCCAAGTGAAAGGGTCACAGAGCTTGGATTACAGCCTGAACTGGCATGTTTACACAGCAGAGAAACAGCTCCTTGCCCTAAGTCCCATGAACTTGCGTCAGCTGGCACGGACTAGCCATGAGTTGTTAATTACAGCAAAAGCCCAGCCTTTAAGTGGGATCCTGGCTGACAACATGTCTAGGAATACAGTTAGATAAGCAACTGTTTTCAAAGGGGAGGCTGGATGATTTTGTGCAGAACCTGAAAGGAGGAGAAAATCATGTTGCAGGGTTTTTTTTGCATGTATTCTACAGTGTGGTGAGGTAATATTAACCCTGGGAATGGAAACTAATCATTTTTGGCGAGGGGGAGGGCCTTGGAGCCTGGCCTGCAATCCGAGCAGGTACATCTACATTGCTATTTTTAGCCCCATAGCTCCATCTCTGGCAATCCAAGCAAATTGACCTGGGTTTTAAAACTTTGCACTGTGGGCTATTCTTTGATGTGTAGGTGTACCCTTAGCCAACAAATGCAAAACTTGACTGCTTTTCTGAACTCCCTAAAACTTTCTGCTTTGCTGGCTTGCACAAGGAGCAAGGAAGAGAGTCAGCAGTGGGCAATAATTTTTGGCTA